GCGATGGTTTTATTTTTTATAGAATATACATCACACGGCATTATTACGAGAACATTTCGCTCTATATTTCAACCTAAATCAAATCAGCAATTTTTTTTGTTTCTTCTTGATCATGGATGTTGCTTATTATCCATTCTATCATGGGTAGTGATAGCTATAATTATATCATATCACAAATATCTATTAACACTAATATATTATCTGCTAATTTTTTATTTACTTTATATTTCCGATAGTTTAGCGAGTTTTTTAGGCTTCACAATAGGTGGTTTGGTATTTTTATCCAATATGCTATTAGTACGTAGAGCCTGGCAATCCATGTTTCTAAAATTGTTCACCATAGCCATGATATCTGGATCAATCTTAATGCCAATAGTGGCAGATACAATACAACCGCGATACGCTGTAGATCATTATGCCAAATTTTTACCCGATTCTGCCAAGCATCGAGTATTTATTTGGCATTTCGTTGCCGAGCAAATTGCTAAAAAACCAATTCTAGGATATGGGTTTGCTGCTTCAAGAAATTTCGAAATAAAGGAACAAGATTTTGTTAAATATAATCAGTGGGTATGGTCTCCCCTACCCTTACATCCACATAATAACATCATGCAAATTTTACTAGAAACTGGTCTAATAGGTTTCTTATTATTTTTATTGTTACTTTATAAATATATTAAAAAAATTGGTAATTTATGCTTAGTCCCATCAATTAAATATGATAGAGTAGATTTAACAAACAAAAATAATATGGTAACTTATCAGTCAGCGGCTTATGGCTGTTTTATTAATTATTATATAATAGGCATGATTGCCTTTAACATATGGCAAATATGGTGGGTATGCAGTGCTTTTGCAGTAATTATTCTATTTAAGTTATTTTTTTTGGAAGCCTTAGTGGAGGACAAATACCATGTTAGCAACATCTGATATTTTGCTGGAATATTTGCCAATAGCTGTATTTTTTGGTATAGCATCAGCCTTGTCATTAATAATTGTTATTTTACCAAGATTATTAGCTCCGACAAAAGATAATAAAGCCAAATTGGATAGTTATGAATGTGGCTTTGAAGCTTTCAGTGATGCAAGAAACAAATTTAACATACAATTTTATTTAGTAGCTATTTTATTTATTATTTTTGATTTAGAGATAGCCTTCCTGATGCCTTGGGCTATTACGCTAGGACAAATTGGTAAATATGGTTTTTTTTCCATGATGTTTTTTTTATTAGTACTTACTATTGGGTTTATATATGAATGGAAAAAGGGGGCTTTAGACTGGGAATGAAGATGCAAGCAAATATGAATTTATCTGATCAAAATAATCTTCTAGCAGAAGAAGTATCAAATCGAGGGTTTTTAATCACCAAGCTTGATGACTTGATAGGCTGGGCTAGAGCTAATTCGCTTTGGCCAATGACTTTTGGTCTCGCTTGTTGCGCAGTAGAGATGATGCAAGCAGCTAGCAGCCGCTATGATTTGGACCGCTTTGGTATGTTATTTAGACCAAGTCCTAGACAATCTGACTTAATGATTGTCGCTGGAACATTGACCAATAAAATGGCGCCTGCCCTTAGGCAAGTTTATGACCAAATGACAGAACCCAAATGGGTTTTATCAATGGGAAGTTGCGCCAATGGTGGCGGGTATTATCATTATTCATACTCAGTGGTACGTGGTTGCGACAAAATCGTACCTGTAGATGTATATGTACCAGGCTGCCCCCCAACTGCCGAGGCTTTGCTTTATGGTTTAATGCAGTTGCAAAGGAAGATTAGAAGAGGTTCTAATCGAGTAAGTACTTAGACACTGTTAACAAAGTTTTTTAATTAACCTGAAGTTCGATGTAACGTGTTATACCAGTTCCAAAAATTAACTTCTTCTGGTAATTTGGACAATGAGCCTAGGCTCAAATCCGTAACGAAATCTTTCGTACTGCTTGCGGTTTTGCGCTCCGTATTTCCTTCAAATTCCTCAGTATAAATTAATTTTTGGAACTGGTATTACATCAAATTGAGGTTAATATAATATGAAATCTAGGCTATTACCCAACATAATATTTAATAATGTACTAGCACTAGGAACGGTGTCAAGATGTGTGGTAATGTTAATATGTTGTTGAGGTAATAATTTAATATTTTTTTGATTCATTATATAGGATTTGAGCATAAGACGTTTTT